TCACTCAAGCTTCTAGAGGCGAGTTGCTTAACTACGCCGTGCAAAACAGAATAACTAACAGGGATTGTCATTTTAATTTATTTCTGAATATCACATTACCCTGAGGTGACGCCAGATGTAATATGTGTCAAGTGCAATGTTGCTATTTAAAGTCCGTCCAATGAACAGTGAGACAAAAGATTTATAAGATGAGCAGTTACGTACGACAGAATGCGCCAACAAGCGCTTCTTTGAGCTTATTTCACCAAAACCGGTTTTCATGGCGTGTGGCACCGCGCTATTCTCATAAATGCCTAATCCATCCTAAGCCAAAGCGTAAACCTAAGCCTATGGGATCAATTAAAGAAGGTATTGGTTGTATGCCATTAGAACACCAAACTGCTGCAACATCTCACATCAGTTTATTCAAATCCGGTTTTGAAGATGATACCTACTTAATCAGGCTTGAAAGCCACAATTTATTCCAAACCATTGGTAACTCAACGACTTCTTACGAGATTGTTGGAGTTGATTCGCAACAGTAAAATGAATTTCTGACTAATGGGAAAAAATTAATCGTTCATGAGATAAGTTATGCCACGACTTAAATTCGAGCGAAAAGAAAGAACAGGAATGCAATGGAACAAAACTCAATGCCTCTCTTAAAAGCATTGAGAGACAAGCTACAAGACCGAGTATCGGTACTTTTATCTGCATACATATTTTATGAGGCTTTCTATATATAGGTCCGAAATAAGCCCCATGCATCGCTACGACAAAAAAAAACAAATGACAAATAGACTAAAAAAGTGAAATAAACAAATGTTGGTTACTTGTCCAATGAAAGTAGTTATGAGGATGCAGTAATATATCGGGTTCAGATGCAAACCAGCAAACACGTTGCGTTCATTGTGGATTTTGCGGGCGTTGATTTCATTGAATAACGTCATCATGACAAACGCATTGAAAACGATAGTGAAGTGTTCAGTGGGCGCTGTGTGCAGAGTAGCGTAACGGCCGTTGTCGATATCGAATATTTTTTCCCCGATGAACACAAGCAAGAAAATGATCACCAACTGATAGAGACTGTGGCCGATGATATTCTTCATCATCGTCCGCGAAATAAGAGGCTTTTTGCGGCCATACGGGCGCCTCGTAAGTAAGTCCTCGGTTGGCATCTCAGTCGCCAGCGCCAGTGCCGCAAATGTGTCCATAATTAGGTTTACCCACAGCATTTGAACGGCCTAGAGAAAAAACACCAGTTCATAGGTCAGCTATGTCTATAAGCCTAATTACCTTCAAAGGACTATCTTCTATAGCACAGGCGCCGATAAATGCGACAACTACAGCGACGACATTCACCGTCAACTGAAACTGCAGGAACTTGGCGATCGAATCGTAAACGTTTCGGCCCCACATCACCGCTTTTACTATACTGGTGAAGTTGTCGTCGGTTAGAATAATGTCAGATGCTTCCTTGGCGACGTCCGTACCGGCAATTCCCTGCAACAACGTACTCAGATTTAAGAATCACTTAGCTTTCAAGAGTGTAAACAGAAACGGTTCTAAATCTGCTGAAAAGTAAAACTGAGTTTGTACTAGACTGGGTTACTTTATCCACAGTTCAAATCGACAAAAAATGTTAAACTATGCCGCTGTCTTGCTCGACTTTTAAATCATACAGCTGTAGACTGTCAGTTTATATACACGTATGAAGCCTAGAAAGATTTTGGGCACAACAGAATAAACGTAATCATGAAGTTATAGATATCATTTTGCTAGCTGATTTTCGGATTAATTCCAATCGACAACTTTGCATTATCTGACTTCAGCGTTACCGTGGCAGCGGGGGAACAGTGACAAAATATTAAACGGCATGACAACATGAGGTAAGGTGAAGGATATACTCCTGAACCTCCGAAGTAACCGTGAAGATCTGTTATGAAGCACGAAACGATTGGTTAACAAAACAACGGTAACCAGGGTCGTCAGAAATTCTGACGTCTGTTAAAGTAAATGCGTACTGGACAATGTATTTGCAAACGCGCAGAACGACGTCCACAGCCGTATATATCTCCGCAAGGCGCGTGATACCTTTACTACACGCATCCATCATCTAAACGGAAGATAACCACTCATGGAGTATACTGAAAGTAAGTATGAACTTAGACAGATAACAGAAATAAATGGGAAACAAAGAACACTAGCAGTGCGATTTGGATAATCAAAACCATCCAAATAGAGCACCAACACGCCAACCAAATTTTGTGATGCAGCCATCTCTCTGAAATATTGATGACACTTCTTAATGTTATCTGAATTGAAAACAAATTTTAATTTTCAGCAAGAAATAAATTACTGCAATCAGAAATTAGTCGCTGGATATTATGAAGTATTAGACGAGATTTAATGATAAACCATGTCTGTTGTGAAAAGCGAACGAGAGCAATCTAACTGCCTGCTCTGATCTGTGGAGTCAGCCAGGGATATGTGTTTTGCCATTGCTATTCAAACTGTTTTGATTTTTTCCCTGAAATGGTACTGACCACAGCAACGGAGAAGGTCTCATTCCAGAGGGAAGGCACACATCAAGCTATCAAGCCAGGTATCTTACTGAGAGAGCACGCACACGATATTCTTCTGATGAGCAGCATGGGGAGCGAGTTGTGCTACCTACAGCTTCCGCATGCAACACAGCTACGACAGCCAGTCCTTATCTTAATGCATCAAAGTGCAAATCTATGAGGAACCCATCAGACACGGCTGATCCGCCATTGGAGCATAGAGCGGAAACCACAGGAAAAACCGATCAGTGGAATATCTCGGCTCAATCAGCTGCAATAAAAGCTCTCCTTGCAAAGCTACGTAGAAAGACGGCATTCTGAACTACTGGTATTTAAGATGCTTGGAGCACTTGAAATTTGGTTCATGAAGGGCGCCAAATTGACGAAAGACCGGTATCCAATGAAAAATCCCCTGAATTTGCCACCATGCAACCAGAAAAAGCCAGTAAGTCGTGAAAGTGAAAAAAAAACAGTTCTGTTCTAGATGTGCACTTCTTTTCTAGCAATTGTAGCGATAACGCCTTAGATTTTG